ATATATATATATATATATATATATATATATATATATATATATATATATATATGGGGGTGCGCGTGTGCGCGCTAAATTATAGATTTTAAGATATGCTATATTAATTGAGAGAAAAGTGCTCAACGTCAGGGACAGGGCGTATGTAAATATAAACAGGTGTGGACATATATATTAACATTGGATGTCAACAGTCTGTTTCATGCTTAAACGCAATTGTTAGACTATATCTACGCTTCTCTCTCTCTCTCTCTTTCTCTCTCTCTCTCTCTCTCTGTGTGTGTGTATATATATATATATATATATATATATATATATATATATATATATATATATATGAGATAACGACATATATTTTTATATATCAAGAACAGTATTGGTGGAAAAAGTTTACATGTGACGCGTTTGACCCTTTAGGATTTCATCGGACTGGTTTTGTTAATGTTGTTATGACTACGCATGCGCATGAATGAGACGCTGGTAGTTTCAAATTTTTTAAGGAATTTTGAAATAATTTTTTTTTTTAAATCTAGCCAAATTTATCTATATTTTTTTTCTTTTTCTTCCCATCATCTTTGTTTTTAAATATCTCACATTTGGATGACAGAAAATGTACCAAGAATGGTGAAACGTTAAAAGAATCCGGACGTGAATTTACTGTAGCTGAACTAGTGATTAAAGCACATTCTAGACATTTTCGTCTTAATGAATTATTTTCTCTTTTAATTAGAGTAGCATTTTTTATGCCAAACTTGCGTAACAATGTTAACAACGTTTTATGTCAAACTTGTGGTCAGTTTCGTTACTGTGAACAGCCATTGAGTTTTGTGTGTTGTTTTTTAAAATGTCTCCTTTGTGTCCATATAGTTTTTTGTTTAAACTTCTTGAGGTTTCCCCGATATATTCTTTCTGACAATCCTTGAAGTTGAGAGAGTAAATTCCTCCTTCAAGTTTTGGCGTGTTGTTTTCCTTTGTATTGATTAAGACTTTTATTGTTTTAAATGTAGTTGTGACAAATTTTATGTTGAATTTAGATAAATTCTTTTCAGTTGTAGTTGTGATAGCATTAGAGGGTAGAATAATATATTTTTTTGATTCGTTGGGTTTGTCAGGAAGGACACCTCTTCTATTTTAGAATATTTTATTACCCTTTTGTTTCGCATTGAAAATGAAATAGAACGAGGGTCTAGAAAATATTTTCAATATATTTCTCCTCTTCATTTAAATATTGAGGGCTGCAAATTCTGAGTGCTCTTATATAGAATCCAATGACCATTCTGGATTTTATTTTGTTGTTATGATTGAATAGAAGGTTATTAGATCATTTTTATTAGTTGATTTTTGGTGGACACTAAGCTTTAGGCTCCTGTCAACTTGGTATAACATGATGTCTAAGAAAACTAAAGTTAATTAATTGTTTTCTTCCATTTCGTATGTAAATTCTATTGTATGTTTGACTTTGTTTAGTTTATCTACAAGACCCAGTAAGTCAGTATCACGGGCATGTAGTAATAGATCATCATCAATATATCGGAAGTAAGTTGATTATTTAGGTAAAATATGTTGGAAAGAACCAGATTCGAGAAATTCTAAGAAGATACATGCTATCACTCTATTGAGAGGCGATCCTTTTAATAATTCAAATTTTTGTTTGTAAAAATTATTAAATGTGAAATAGCATTGATTGAAGATGAGATGGTAGATTTTAATTATTTTTGCTATTGGTAATGAAAGGTTTATGTTTGATTGTGTTAGATGTTTTTTTAAGGGATTTAAGTATTTTTCAACCGGGACATTAATGTAAAGTGATTTTATATGTAGACTGGCCATTAGTTTGTCAGTCATAATTATTTCTCTTAGTTTTCAACAAGGTTGCCTGAATTTTTTATATATGATGGACTTATTTTTCCATGGAGAGGGGTTTAAAATTTTTGCTATGACTCTAGCTAGTTTTTCGGGGTGAATGCCTATTCCTGAAATGATAGGGCGCATAGAGATACTAGTTTTGTGTGTCTTAAGTTTGGGTATTCTAGGGCGATATTCTAAGAGTCTATGCCACGAATTATTTCATTTTTAATTAGTTGACTTCTTTGTTGAATTTTTGTGTTTCAGTAGCCATTCTTTTTTTCGTTTATTTATTTTCGTATGTGTCGTTATCGTTGGGTAGTGAGTTAATTTTTTTTCTATGTATGTATTCTTGTTTATTATCCGAAACCTGCCTCCCTTGTCAGAGGAAGTGATGTGTATTTTCTTATTTCTCGCTAGGTTCTTTAGTGCATTTAGGTGTCTCAATGGTAATGTATTTTCGTTGTTAGTTTCTATAGTAGCAGTGATTATGTTTTGAATGAAACCTTTGATGAACACGAAATCGTTATGCTTACGATTTTGACCATAGTGTCTATTATATCTCCTTTGCAGATTCCGGTGGCAAATTTTGAAGTGAAGCTAAGGCCGTCTCGTTCTGTACTGGAAAGTTTTATATCCGATAGATTTTCTTAGATTAGGTTTTCCAACATATTTCCACTTGCAGTTGCTCTAGAAATTGTTAAGTTTGTTGTTTTGATTGTCACTCATTTCTTTGATAGTTTGGTGTAATTGAGTCATTTCCGGCTTTGTTACAACGTACTTTAAGTGGAGTAGCATTCCAGCAGTTCTGGCATTTTTAGTGGTTATTTTCTTCAGCACTTCTAGTTCTTCTGCAGATGTGTTTAAGAAACCACATGCGTATGTTAGAAAAAGGTGATATTACGCTCTAAGTATAATGTGTGCGTGCATTATGAGATCTCTTTCTCATCAATGCACTTCAGCAAGAAACCTTTTTTTTTTGTATATCTTTAATAACACTGGTCGACACGATTTGGGGTACCAAGAAACAAAACACAATTTTAGCTCAGTTGATGGTGCTGATTCCGAAAATTACCTTAGTTTTTCATGGTTAGCTATGGTTTTTGCTGTAATGAAATTGCTTATTTTTTGAAAAAAAAGATAAATTTACGATCTTGGCTAATGGCAAAATTTAATTAATTAAGGTCAAGAAACACATCAATTTTACGGTAGGCCGAGCAATTTATGTCAGCCACCTATTTTTATAAGAAAAAAGTGTTTTTGAGTAAAAAATTTAAAAAAAGATGTACTGAAGTTTTCCAATTTTATTCTTTATTATCAACTTAACCGATAAAATTTATTGGTAATACACTTTAGTAAACCCAATAATTATGGTGACATCAAAAAAATGGAACCCTAAAATATTGATGTTTGATATTCATAAATTTATCCCATCACTTTTTCCCTTCACTACGGAACGAAACCATGCACATTGCGAGCATTTTGTTTTCACAGTTGGAAAGAAACGTCAACTAAGACATCCCAATTAAATTCACCTATTCCATTACTGCTAGAGTAACAAAAGGGACTTGAATAACATTGAACTTGACAATCAAGAAAGAAATTTTTACCATAGTTCTTATGTTCCGAAGGTTGATATATATATATATATATATATATATATATATATATAAAAATTTTGGTATATGATCCCGACAGAGTCATAAATTGTTGACAATAGGAAAAACGTTCATGAAAGTATGTTTCGAAATATAATGTTTTATATTTAAAGCACGTAAAAAAATTTTTCTTTCCGTCAAAATATTTTTCCAAAATTAATTTTTCTTAATATAGCGTCTTTTACGTAATGTAATAATTTCAATTGTTAACAGACACGGAAAGAAAACTACAAACTCTCCTTCATAAGGTAGTGAAGGAAAGTGACTAAGTATAAACTTCAAGTAGATACAATGTATGGTTGTTACCAAAAGGATGACCCCAAAATGCAAATTACAAATTGGATGTACCAAAATCAACCAAGCACAAAAAATTGAAATATCTAGCAACTGTTTTAACAGAGGACGGAAAATGTGACACTGAAATCCGAAGTCGCTTTCGGATAGCCAAAAATGCATTCCAAAAGCTAAGCAGAGTATTAAGAGACAGAAAACATCGTTAGAAACAAAGAAAATGGTACTGAACTCTTACGTGGTTCCTGTTCTATTATATGCTAGCGAATGCTGGACAGTTTCCTCAAAGATGAAGAAGAGACTTGAACGAATGAAATGTGGTTCTACAGAAGGATGTCGAGGATTCCATGGATTGGAGACGTGAGCAACCATGAGGTTTTAGAGAAAATGGAAAACCAAAGGAAACTAATGCTTAAGATCAGGAAGAAACAGTTGAAATTTCTGGTGCACATAATGAAGAAGAGAAGCTTGGAAAATTTGATACTCACAGGCCAAATTCAGGGCAAGAGGAACAGAGAAAAACAATGCATGACCCAATTGACGAGCTTGGGAAAATGGATGGCGTACCAAGATTTAAAAATAACGAAAAGACAGAATTTATTTAGAGCTGCAAGAAACAGGAAATTGTGGAGAGCCATGATCGGCAACGACCTGGAGGGAGGACACGGCACATTATATGGTCTTATCTTCATGACCAATCAAAAAAAAATCCTTTTTTCAATGTGTGTTTAAATTAATCAATTAAAAGCTTGAAATGTTCACTTGTTTGTTAATAAACTACATTTTCTAATTAAATAGAAATGTTTCGCAAATATATTTTGATTGGAATAACAGTATTTTATATTTTTAACCCTTTTGTAGCTGTTCTTAAGATTTTGACCAGGGGTAAATATGGATGGATTCTCCCGTCGTTCACGGGAGTTGAATGTTCAGTAATTTCTAAGTTTTTACTGAATAACGTGTACAAGTGAATTGTTCAAAATGGCCAATAGACACTTGCCTGCAATGCATACTATCATCATCGAAGCACCATACCATGTAGTGATGTAATGTGTGCTACATGTCAGATGATGCTACAATCAAAAGCTTTTTTTAATAGGAGTTTCCCATCTCCGAGCTGCATGTTGGCTGTTGCCTCCTATAAGAAGGTAGTCCACCCTTTGCTAACCTACTCCAGGTTGGTTTGAATTCAGTTTTGCTTCTCCCATGCACCTGGTATTCCCAGGCGGTCACCCATCTAGGAACTGACGAGGCTCGTCATTGCTTAACTTCCATGATCGGACGAGAACTGGTATTTCAACGTGATGTGATCTCTCTCTCTCTCTCTCTATATATATATATATATATATATATATATATATATATATATATATATATATATATATATAATGTGTATTTGGACAGCAAACCCTCTTTTATACAAGTTCCATTAAAGATGACTAACAAGGTACTGCGATTAAGCTTTTTATCTACTTTTTTGTGTCTGTATAAGTACTTTCTTTCGTGAACATAAAGCGTGTAAAGATTGTCCAAGTCTCTATCTATAAAAGGCAGGATGTGCGTGTGTGTGTAACGAATGCACGGCCGCAATTTTTGACGGATTTGCACCAAAATTTACATGCACATGCTCCAAGTTAGCAGGAAGGCCAAGACTGACTTTGCATTTCCCAACTCCCATCGATAGAGGAAATAATCGATTTTTTCATGCTTCTACGGCTGTTTTCATGTAGTTTGCAGCCATTATGTACTGGCCAGTGTGAGAGCCAATAGCTGGCTCCCACGAATAGGCAGGAAGATTCTATTGGCCAGCGTGAGAGCCAACAGCTGACTGACACGAATGTTAACTAGCATGCAAAAAAAATCGATAGCTGCATTCATCACAAGTGGGAAAAATTTTAATCTGGATGGCACTTTATTCCAATTGGCTCATTCGCTTGCATAAACTCAATGTTGATTCTGATTCCGCAGAACTGGGTTGGGTGTGAAAAAGGTTGGTTGGGTCTTTTTTCATTCGGTTTTTCCAATTACGAGTCCTTTTATAAAGCTGATCGTTTTGTGTTCATTTTGTTTAGTTCTTTTTTTTTTCATAACAGATTTAATGTTTAGTATAGAGCTTAGAAAAAATTTGCAGTGTGAGATAGGCAAGAAGTAAAGCATGTAGCAACATCAGCACGGCAATGGGAACTCCTTTAAATGCAATGAAAGAGCAAAAATATTTTAAGTCAAGTGATAGCGATTGCTGTATGAGTCGTACGATTTTGTGAATCAAGCATGGGCAACGCCGGGCAATGCTGCTAGTGTTCTATATATCCAAGCGCTTACTTCTATCATTTTAGCCATTATCAAGGATGTTTTTTTTAACTGAATGCATGGATTTTTTTATGTATGTATCTAGAGTTATAAGAGTGTTTTCTTTTTTCAAACACAGTCAGTATATTGTGGCCGTGTTCACAGTAGATGTTATTGAGTGTTGGCTCTTTTTTTACTATTAGCGCTTCCATTATTTTTAATTTTTTTCTTACATGTAGATGAGACTATTCTACAAGTTTGTTGTGGATGGAATTTGGTAGGTTCCCTTGTACGGTTGAGTGAGTAGCGGTTTGGACTGAGGAATCGGAGAGCCGATTTCAAATTCCATTTGAATCCATTACATTCACTTATGTGCTAATACCATTGAGAAAGTTATGAATCCCCCTCTTCTCCCTCCAGCTATGGGTAAAATAGCAGGACAGACTGGTTTCTAGAGCCTTGGATGGCAACTGGTCTAGGAGAAGGACAACTCTGAATTCAAACCTGCGGAAGGTTGTTTGGAGACCTTGTTGCACGAGGTGCACAAGGTCTCTGTAATCGGCTCTTCAAAAAGTGTGGTTAGTTCTGCACAAAGCCTTCACCACTATAATCAAATCATATGTGCTAGTGTCTAGCTGTCGGTTCCTAAGAACTGAGATGCTGACCCTCATACGTCGAATACGTATATATATATATGTGTGTGTATGTATATATATATATATATTGTGTTTGTGGTTCTTTGGTCATGTGGTGTGATTTTAGCTATCGCCTATAAATATGCGTTTCTCTTTGCCTCGTCAGCCTTACTTTCCCTGACGATCCGTTTAGGTGAAACCTAGGTAGGTTTGTCTGGCTCACTAGGTGTATCTATCTATCTATCTATCTATCTATCTATATATATATATATATATATATATATATATATATATTAGCGTGTGTTGTAATGGCTGTGTGCTCTTTTTCGGCATGGACATACGCCTCTGTATTAATATTATCATTTTTCCTTTCTTTTCTTTTCTTTTTTTCTTTTTCTTTTAATGGTTGCTTTGAAAATAGTGCAAAGAATAAGTGTCCGTCGGACGTGACGGTTTCTCATTGGCCGCTCAACTAAGTGACAAGTGATATCATTCCGCACATACGTCTGTTGACAGCATCAGAATAAATTTATAAGTTCTGAACGAGTGATTTATATAAAAGGAAAAATCTAAGTGTAAAACATGACTGTTTTATTGCTGAATCTTGATTTGATTTAATTTGCAAGTCGCAAACAAATAAATCAGGTTTAACTATCAGCTGACTTCCTGTGTTCTAAATCAGTAACGATAAAAAAATCACAACTTAGGTAGTTCAATTGATGACAAACATATTTTTATATGAAAGATACTCCGAAAATCATTCTTGAAAATAGTTATCTTTTCACTATATCTTCATAAACTGCGTCACTTATCGTTCATACAACATCCTTCAGTAATCGTCTACATTATATGGCTCTTGAGCCTTGTATAGGGTGAATATTAGTACAATAATATCGATTATTAAACAAAAACCGTTTATTCTATTAATGTCACGGCCTTCCTTGACTTTTACCTAATGTTGCTATAATGGGAATTAATATCAAGTATAATTTTTAGTTATGTATCATAGTTGAAAAGAAAGTCCTGTCGCATGTGTGTGTGTGCGTATGTGTGCATGCGTCCTTTACAGATTACTTAAGATCACAGTGGATAAATTTTGTATCGGCTCTAACCTTTTAAACTGAGTTTAAATCCCAACTATATCAGACTCTGTATATTGTATGATTTCAAAAAAGACCCTTCAGCAACGGATGCAGCGAGAAATATACGATAAAATTTAACAAACGCGCCCGCAAAAAACAAAAAAACAGTGTGTCAAAAGGACTGTTTTTATCTTGATACCATTATAATTGTATACTCCTTCGCTAACGTTTAATTTTTTTTTTTTAAATATTTTAGTATTTTAGTAAAAACCAAACATGAGAAACTAGATTTACACAATTTTTCTCGAGGACTGACAATAAAATTGTTAAACAATTATTTATTAGGCTGTTTAGTTACAATAGTAATTTTATAAAATAATATAAATAATATAATAATATAAAATTACCAAATATGGGAACCAACCGCAATACAACATTTATTATTTACGATATTATAACTATGAAAACATTTTTATTCATAGATTTATAAATGTCTAGGAACTATAGAAGTAGAAAATTTAAATAAACGCATAACGAGAAAGAGTAAGTATACAATAATAGCGAAGTCAAGAGAAAAATCCTCCTTTTTACAGTTTATGACAATGAATTTTTTAATTATCAAAGTAGCCAAAGATGATTTGGCCAGTTTTGATTGGGATCGAACCGACCGAAAACCGTACTGCCTGTCGCTCAAGAGGTTGTCCATACTGAGGTGATCAACAACAACCTTCTTGATTATAGACTCAAAAAGTTTGCTAATGACACTGAGATGGGCCGATACTGAGACGAGGATGATCACTCACCCGCATTCTTAAAAGCGGAGCATACACTTAACACCTCCCATATGTTTAAGAAGGATTTCTCTTTCAAGAAACGGTTAAATAGTTTTGCTAACATCGGGGATAAGTCAGGGTTAATATTCTTAAGGACAACAACATTGATTTTATCTGGACTGGTTGTCTTCTTTGGGCCAAGGCTTTTCATGAATCCTGAGACTTCCTTGGCTGTGATAAAAATTTTACTAACTTTGTGCTCCGTGAGAAATGGGGAGTTAAAGGCAAAGATCATCGTAGCAAAGAGTTTTGCTTTATCTAACGACGTTGAAATTGTCTGGGGGCCATTTATGATAGTAAGCACAGACGCTTTGTCGCTATTGAGAATTTTGTTGGAGATTTTTCAGTACTTTTGGCATCCAAGTTGTTTGTTTCCGACATTGGCCTGGACTGCTTGTATATATCTGCACTTTGCATTTTTTTAGAGTTCTCTTGAAATGAGTGCGGGCCGTTATGAATAAAGCAAGTATCCCACTATACCATTCCCTGTTATAGGTATTGTAGTAGTGGTCATGGTAATCTATGACTGCGGCACATTCAGAGATGAACCGGGGCTGGGTGTTTGGGTTTTACTGGAATTCTTTCTCGGGTATAAAGATTTCCATTCCAGAAAAATCCATTCGGAGATGAGGGCGACAGTTTTGAAGGCAGTATGTTGGAATAGGAGATGAGGGCGACAGTTTTGAAGGCAGTATGTTGGAATAGGAGATGAGGGCGACAGTTTTGAAGGCAGTATGTTGGAATAGGAGATGATGGCGACAGTTTTGAAGGCAGTATGTTGGAATAGGAGCTTTCTGAAGCTGTCGGCTTTCGTGTACCAAAAATTTGTTCTATGGAACGGTATATCAAGGGATGCCTTTGGCTTGGTATAGATTTTAACAATGACTAGTGAATGGTCTGAAGTGTTTGGGAGAGTATTGTTCAAGGCAGGATGTGAGGAAGATATCTAGGAAGTTCGTTTGATGTGCTGTTACATTGGAAGCACGATTGGGCTTTTCAAGCTTAAGTTCGTAGTCGATGGAGAATTCTTGGCAGCTTTTTTTTTTTTTTGAGAGCGCTAACAACTCTAGTCACTCTTTATGGTGTATATTAAAGTCACCACAAATATGATTGCTAGCTAAGAGATACTCAGAAAGTGTATTATCGATCGTCTCAGCTATTTTGTCGAACATTACAGTTCCGTCATCCTGTGGACGGTAGTGTGTGATGATGAAAGAGGTACTGTGAACAGGTGCTAAGCACATATACGGGACATCAGGGACTTCGTTTTTTTTATCTCATATTAAATTTGTAATTGAAAATACCTGATCCATAAATTGAGGTGTTTAAAGTTATTAGTATTTATTCATTCTACTCATTATTCTTTTTTTAATCATTTCAAGCCAAGGCGATAAAGCCACCAAAACTAAAAAAAAAAAGTGGTTTACGTACAGTGAAAGAAACTAGGAAAACTTTATCAAGGTCAGGGAACA